TTTCTAAACATCTTTTCCCAAGATTATTCTCATATCTGTTTTACAAAGGTCAAGTTATAGAAAAAAAAAATGTCTGGAACCTAAAAATTGACTTATACTGAATATAAAAATGTAATATAAAAAAACATTGTTATGGTTATAGAGTCTTGTTTTCATTATCTTATTGGTCCTGGTGTCCTCTATGATATATCATAAAATATGAAACAAATTTTCAGATTTTTTTTTCACAATTTGTTTCTTATAGGCCTACTCCAAAACGATGTAAAAAAAGAAGAAGGATATGAAAAAAAAAGTTTTAAATAATGGTTCTATCTAACTCCAAGTGTGCTAAAATAAACATCTTTCCTCATGCAGGTGCGACTTCAGTTTCTTTAATCATTCCTGATCTGCACACGCTCTCTTGAAAGCGTTCGAGTTGGTCTTTTTGTGAGCTCTCTGAGACAGTGATCCAGCTATGGGTGTTTGATCAGAACCAGGCCTTCGGTTCCACAGAGGGAACGGCAGAACGGAAGACTTCAGCTGCTGTACGGAGCATTCAGTCCTCGGCAGAGCGCTCTGTCTGACAGGCCCAATCTTTGGAAGAATTACATTTTGTCTTGTACCGGCTTGAAAGCTGTTCTCTTTCTTTGTCTCGTCTTTCTTTACTTCTACTTGGCAAGTGACCTCCTCGAACCACTCGTCAAACCACTGGTCATCGCTGACATCGGCCAGCCATGGAGTCAGAGACCAGTCATCGGTCAGCCGGTGCCACTCCGCGTTTCCAACGTCCTCCGTTTTCTTCCCCTTCTCTGTGGAAAAAGTATTTTTCTGTTGCATCTGTTGGCTCGGAGGTATGATTTGTGGAAGATGCATTAAGGCTTTTTCATCATCCCTCAAAGAACAAGCATTCGTCTGAAGCTCTACACTCGTCTGGGGTTTCACGGTATTTTTCTGGAGCACTTTTACAGAAGAAGTGTTAAGGAACTTCTGTGTGTGCTGGAGCAAGTGCTGGTTCTGGGACACACCACCTACACGTGTTAGCAAGTTGGGTCTTGCATTTGACCCCTTTTTGGGAAGCTCATTCTTACCGTCTTCTTTAACTCGGAAACCTCTGTTGGCACAGGAATCATTGGGCCGCCAAAGACTCGAGGCGAAACCCCTCACCTCACCGGGACCGCAGGACGCAGCGGGACAGAAGAGATTGTTTAGATGGGTCCCCTGCTTTCTGTCATCGAAACTCTTTTTCTTCATTGTCGGCAGTTTGGTAGACGAGCGGGAGCGTGTGTTCCTGTCCCCGTTATCATCATCGTGGATCGAGCCGAGTCCATGAATCACGATCTGAAGTCGGCGAGGGACCGCGAGCGAATAATAGCGTATTGAGCTTTCACTCATTTAAAATGTGCTGTCGCGATGCATGATCAGAGATCTGCACGAACTCAGCAGAACCTTTAAAAGTAAACATCGCGTCACGTTTACAACACTTCTGAACGCACGTTATCAAAAGCATAGCCGAACTGTGATATGAAAATCGAAATTTAATATAGGCCTATTAATAAAAATAATAATAGGCTAATAGACCTAATAATGGGCTAATAATTGGGGGAAATTAATTCTTAAAAGTCATCTTTTGAAAACGGTGATTTTGATGTTGCAAGGGCTGGGCGATATGGCTGAAAACTGTATCACGATATCAGTGTTTCATATCGGTCGATATCGATAATTATTGATTTTTTTATGACCCATTTAAAATAAGGACCAGGAGAAAAAATATATTACATTTAAACGTTTTTATTTTAAACTTAACCTTCCTCTGATTACAATCCCAAGACAGAAATGTCAACACAACCATGGAAAACTCAAATAATTAAAATGTAAACATAAGTCTAAATTCACAATCAGACCTGCAAACTCCTCAGAGTAAAAAAGGTGACAGTGGCGCGGCGGGACGTGGGTGGTGGGGGTTTGTGATCGTATGTGCCCCCTGCTTGATTTTTTTTTTTTGAGACATCACGGTTCGGTACGATTTCGGTACAATGGAGTGAAAAGCAAAACAGAAATATAGAAGGCATTTTTATAAATGTCTTAAGCCTTGTATTTTTTAAATAAGTTTTATTAATAAAGGCATAGAACCAGTTTATTTATAGTGCACTGATAATAGTTTTATATAATTGGTTTATTAATTAAACTAATAAAAAGATAGATATGAGATATGTTTGGTAATTGTACCTGAATGAATTTAAAATTAATTTGCTATATTTCAGATCAATATATTTGTTTTCCTTAATTTTAATTAACCCTAACTTTATTCTCATCAGAATTATAAATAATTGATTTCCGTATAAAATAATCTACCAACACATTTCACTTTCTTTTTTAATCAATGTGTAACTTAAAAATAAACATATAGTGCTCTGTTTTGAGGACAAGAAATGAAAACCAATGCGATATGATTAATGTCCAAAAGATGGAACACACAGACTGTTTTACAAAGGGGTTGGATAAATATGTTTTGCTTTTAAAACGGTGTGTGACAGTTGTAGGTTACAGTTTGACAAGAAGTACAGTGTGACAAAAGCACAATGTTGTGTTTTATTGCGAGTATAGGCCTACACAAATATAAGTAAACACTTTGCAGACTGAATGATGTCCTGTATTAACAAAATGACGGAGTATGTTCTCTTACGAGAGTATCTCTCGTACTGCGTAATAGCTTTACGCTAGGGGAAAAACTCTTTTCCGCGAGATATTGAAGCCAAAAATTATCCTTTAATTTTTTATTAATGCAAAACGCTTTGCAGCAGCAAGCAAACATAGGCGAAACAGCTCGCGCGCCTATTGGTTGCTCTTCAGCAAATGCAGCAGCCTATCGAGAGAGACTCTGCGTGACGTAATGACCAATGGGGGCAATTCGCGCCCATATCGTCACGTCCCGCCAGAAGGGGCGTGGTCTCGCCCTATAAATATGCTCGTTAGGCTGATACAAGCTGATTTTTACCTCTTCAGCGAAGCACACGCATCGCTGGATCCGGAGTGAGAAGCCGCGCCGTCGAAGCAAGCCTTTCAGCGGGACGAGCTCTGGAGTCGCTGGCCTCGCCGCCTTCATCTGCCGTACCTGCTGCGCTTTCCGGCGTTATATATCCTTTCAAATACTCTGTGTGTATTTCTCTGTTGAGAAGTGTTTGTTCGCTTACTTGACGCGACTTACACTTCTCTCACAAAAAGAGCAGCGTCTTTTTAAAGATGCCTTCCTGTGGCTCGTGCCGCGCCCCGCTCAGCGATGGAGATCGACACGTCATCTGTGTTTCCTGTCTGGGTGAGGATCACGCGGCTATCGCGCTCGCTGACGGCGGATGCCCTCATTGCGAGTTTTTGCCCATGGTGACTCTGAGGACGCGCCTGGCATCATTCTCCGAGCCTTCACCACAGCCCGCCGTGACGCCGCGCCGTAAAAAGCGCCGCGCCCAGCGCGCTCCCGAGCTGATCTCCAGCCCGCCAAAGCTCGCCGGTTCGCCCGCCTGCTTCGCCGGCTTCGCTCGAGTCGCTCACTGACGGACAACGGCCGCCGCCTGCCGCCGCGTCCATCCACGAGCCTGACGAACCCTCCGAGGCGTGTTCTCTTCTGGCGTCCGATAGTGAGGATTGGGCGAGCTCCGTGGATCTCCCCTCCGCTAGCTTTTCCCGCCAGACCACTGGTAAGAGAGCCGGCATTGAGACTGAGCTGATGCGTCTGCTCTCTCAGGCCGTTGAAAGCATCGGCCTCGATTGGGAGGCGCCCGCGCAACCGCCGCGCAACAGGCGAGCTCTGTGGACCTCCGCCTTCTGTCCGCGAGTCGTCAAGGAAACGGGCCAGCATTCTACCCCGCCCCCCATGGGCGTGCGTCACCGGCAAATGAGTAAAGAGTGTGTTTTAGTTCCCGCCGAGGCCGGATTAATCTCCATTTCTCAAACATTTCTCAGCTCCTAGTTTGAGCGGCTGAAAATGTCATTATTGCAGCAATGAGCCTGTTGTATAACACGCACACCTGCATACAAACGCCGACACACACAAAACTGTGATGACGCTCTCTTATCTGCTTGCGCTAGTGTAGTTCTCCCTGTGGCCCAGTGGCGGAACCTGAAGCTTTCACGCGGGAGACCCGCGGAGGCCAGCCGCGGATAGTTGTAATACACTGACAGCCAATCATATTGTAGCATTTTGATCCCGCTGTCCATGGTACTGAATTGTATTTTCTTGTCCATGGTACTGAAATGCTTCACTAGTTATTAAGAATTTCAAATGAAAGGCAGGTTAAAATCTACATCCGTTCAGTTTGAAATGTGTATATTAGAGGAAGGCCCAAATTCTAGTATGTAATATCAGTATCATATGTAAAATTATACAGCAAAAATAATTCATAACTCAAGACTGATCCTCTGTTAAATTCAGTACCAAGGACAGTGGGCTAAAATGCTGCAATCTGATTGTGAGTGAATTACAAATAACCTATTTGACCTTTAAAATAATCTGACTAGTGTTATAAGATGAAATCAAGCGAAACAAGTTTTTTACTTAAAATCAATGTTTTATTAAACATATTTAAAACATTCTGTTGAAATTGTTAAAACAACCAAGTATAACTAAGGAATGTATAGCTGCAGCAAAGCAATGGGATGGGGCTAACAATAGGGACTGAAAACAAGCGAGTATATAGGCCTATATAAAAAAAAGTTTATAATGAGTAATAACTATACAGATCCTACCCAAGAAAAAAGAACAAGATTAATTAGATTTATTTACACAAGGAAATAACAACAAAATCAATCACATTAATCAGTACACAATTTACAAATAGTTACAATTTACCAGAATATGATCCGTTTAGATCTCCTGAGGTAGGATGGATGTCATGTTAAGGACAGGACGTGAAGAACAAAAACAATGACAGATTAAAATGTGTATGTATTTGAAAGGAACAGATGGAGCAACAGAATGGTGCAACATGAAAACAACGGATGATTAAAATATGAAATGCATCAAGTTCAGAATTTCTATTTCTTTCTCTCTGCTGCCCATCTCTCCTTTTCCATGACATAGAATGATGAGGCTTGAAATTCCCTCCATGTCATTTCCTGTGCCATGCCTCTGTCTTTATATAAGGCGAGGACTTTAGTTGGGCAGTAAATGTATTTTCCTGCCACTCCTGGAAACCCTGTGTGAATATGTTTGCTGTTTGGGCCCTGCTTTAGCTCTGTGCGACAGAAACGGCACAACCTTCCCTGAGGTTGAGGGTCCGGGAGTTTCCTCTTCTTTTCAGCTTTGTCTTCCACTCTGCGCTTTGTTAATTGCAGTTCACGCTGAAAGAAGTCAGTCTGTGCAAACTCTTCAAAGGCCATTCTAGGATTTGTCAGTCCCTCCATAGAATAGGCTTTAAACACCTTTGTGGAGCAGTAGTGATATCTAACAGGCCCTTGTTGATAAAAGTGATGAATTGATGATCCGTCACTTTGGTAGCGGGATTTTGGCTGCCCACACGCAAGACATTTTTTCGTCTGTCTGGGTTTTTGTTGCTGCTGCTGTTGCTGCTCCTGCTGATGTAGCAATATGTCCTGTACTATTTTCTGTACATTCTCCTGTGTTAGTTGCTTCTCAGATGCTGGCTGTGAGATCGGATCTGCTGGATTCACAATGGCTGGTGGCAGTTCTACAACTGGGACATGGACTGTCTCACTTCCCTCAGTTAAACTTTGCCACAGTTTTTGTGTCTCCAAAAGTTTTTCTGGACTCGTGTTCAGTGATGAACTTGTGTTTAACTGTTTAGCCAGGTGTTTTATGTACTGTGTTATATGGTATTTAGTTGTGGGATGAAGCAGACTGTTTGGATCTGTGGCAGACCGATGGACCATAGCTGCATAGTCTTGATCCACAAGCTTCAACATGTCTTTCTGTCCATGGTAATTGTCTAGGAGGCCGTCTATAGCCTCCTTCATTGATGATGTCCAGCGTTTGTGGTCCAAGACGAACACTCGTCCACCAGTCTTGATTGGTCCAGTGCGGGCACTCCTTGGTGAGGACTGCAAAGGCAGGGGTGGGGTACTAGAGGTTTCTGGAACAAAGAAAAAGTGAATTGTTATTTTACTCATTTTCTGAGATGATGATTTTCAATTCTATTTAAAATGTTGGTCCTGGAAATTAGTATTAACTTACCCATTTTAACTGGAGGTTCCATGCTTCCTTGGGACAACATCTGTACCTTATGGATTGCAGCAGGTTTAATTTGGGGGGACTGGGACACAGGCACAGTAGTGGGTGGTGTTGGGTCAGGGGGGAGAGACACAAGAACAGAAGTATCTTTCTTTTGCACCCTATGTTTGTTCCAATCAAGTTGAACTGGACGGCACTCTGGCTCTCTGTATTCAAGGCCAAACTTCTCTCCCGTGTCCCTGTCAGAGAGGTGCAGTACAGGGTACTTCTCTTTCCCAGTCACTCTCTTTGAAGCAGAGTTTAGCTCAGTTATCAGTACTGGATCAAACACAGGTGGGAGGATTACATCTGGCTGCTTAAGGTCCAGAAGCCTCTTGTAGTTCCACCCCTGTCATTCCCTGGGCCTGGAACAATTCGCAGGACACATGAGTTCCAGTAATCCACTGGGCCTGGTGGAAATGATACCCCTCCTGTTGTGAGGTCCCTCTGACTGGAATCCATATGGGGACTTTTGCACCTTCACCAGGGACATGATTAAGCTGCAGAGTTCCCCCATACCTGTACAGGATTCCCTCTGTGACCTCAGGGTCACTGAGGCACCCACGGAGAATGTGCACCCTCTGGATACGCCATGTCTTCAGCATCGAAGGTTTGAAGAGAGGTAAGTTGTTTGGGTCTGTGGTTAGGTGGAAATGCAGAAGAACTTTCTCCACTCTGTCGATCAGTTCTGTTGGCTGTGGAATTCTGGTCCTACAGTGCTCTCTGATGTGCTGTTTTGTAGGATTTGATGGCTGAATTCCACAGAACTGATAAGCATCCCTGAGCTTCTGCAGGTCCTCCTGATCCACGACAGAAAAGGCAGCAGAGAGGAGCTGACAAAAGGTGCTGTAGAGGGGATGATGCTCTGAAGTGCACTCCCGTGTGAAACGCCTCATACAGTGAAACAAATCCAACTTGACCACAATGTTGGGGTTGTATTGTGTACGGGATGCACAGGTGTTCTCCAAAGGCCCAGCAGTGGCCTCAGTGATGATAGATTGTGTGGTACTCCAGGCATCCCAGTTGAGGTGCTCTCCGTGGTGAAGGTCAGGGATTTTGAATGGTGCGCAGCAATCCCTGAACACAAGTAGACGGAAATGATTAGAATTACAAAAATTACTCTTTGATAGGGATGTAACGATTCATTTACAATCGGTTGAAAATCGATAAAAATATGTGATGATTTATGTCGGTTGAGATGTTAAACAAATCCTGATACACATTTTAAACAGCAGGGATGTTTACTCTATTTTAATATAATTTGTTGATTTTTTTATGGCATATTTTTCTAAATGTTTTCTTCTTTTTTTTTAAATCTTGCTAGTGTAATGATACAAATTATAACATTAATAAATAACATTATTAAAATGTGAAACCCTGTCAATGTGTCACTAATTTTACCGTCTTTTTATTTCTGCTATTCCTCTGTGCAAGATGAGTGTGTCAGTTTTAAAAAGAAATGTGCAGCATTTTGTCTGAGGACAATAAAAGGACACTTTTTAATTTACAATTTGTCTAAAATCCCTTTTGTTTAAAAAAATCGTATCGTGAAACCAGTATTGGGATTCGTATCGCATCGTGAGTTGAGTGAATCGTTACATCCATACTTTTTAAGAGTCACAAATATCATGTATGTTAGTGATAGTGGAAGGAGATATTTCTCACCTGTCTACCCAGTGGTAATTGGCCTTCTCCACCCCTGCACCATTGTACCTCCTTGCTAACCCCTGGTACATGGGTTCAAGGGACTTCTCTCTCTCAGACTGCACCATCACCCAGGAGGCAATCATCCAATTCTCATTCATAACTGCATAGCTTGACATGGTACCAGATGACAAGGTCACTTTTCGTGCCACCTTCCTGGTGTGGTCAGACCGCAAGACCTGTCCAAAAGTGCCCTGCAGGAGCTTAGTGATAGCCGGCTGTTGGCGCCGGTACTCATCAATGAGGCAGTCAGTCAGGTAGTGAGCAGAGACAGAGACTCCACACCACCCATCTGCATCATCGTAGGCTCCAAAAGACTGTGGCATGTTATCCTTCCTCACAAGGTGACCAAGAGTCGTCTGCCCGTAAACCCCAGCCTCAGCATCCCAGACGTTCTGTATGCTGTGAAGATATGCCAGGTGAGCTTGTTCATATTTAAGGTGCATCAGCTCATTCACCTGGTTTGCCATGTCTGAAGGTGACTTGCCAGTGCGCCTCAGCTCGTGAAGCACAGACTTACAAATGGCCTTTTTGTAAGTTAGGAAGGCTGGCAGAATGTTTGTGAACCGTTTTGGCAGTTTCTCCGTCCACTGAGGACTGTCAGCAAACCAGATCCTCTTGCACATCCTGCAGCGGAGACGTGAAGCAAAGATGTAGTATTGTCCACTGGTGCCAACAATCACTCGAGGCCTGCCCACACCGGCTGAGACTATATCTGGCTTTGGACAACCATGAAGACATGGGAGAATACAATTATTTCTCAGTCTCACCATGATGTCACTTTCTGGTTTCCAAATAAAAAATGGATGGAGCTGAAAGAAATTGCGGGATGGGAGCACTGACACAGTGTCAATGAGTTCTGGCTGTGGCGGGAGACGCAATAATGAAAGGGCGTTTCCTGGCTTGAGCAAATGGTGAGACCCAGGCCACAGTCCCAGAGATTGGAGCTCTGTCTTCATCCACATTTTCTGATGATAAGAACAGGTCCAATGGCTTATATCCTGATCTGGTCTCTGTGCCGGTGGGGCAACAAAAGCAGAAGGCCCTGCTGTGGGAACAAGGAAAAACAAAAACATAATTAGTGACTTGTTTTCCATTTATTCCAAACATCTAATAACAAACATGTATTCATTACTTAAATTAGCTTTTTGTTTCTGCCTTACATTAATACATTATTAGCTAACTGTCATTTTTATATGTCAATTTCTGAAACGCATAACCGATAACATCACTTTGAATTGTAAAGAACTAGACGCATGCATTTTCTGTAAAGCTGCTTTGAAACGACATGTATTGTGAAAAGTGCTATGCAAATAAATTTTAATTTAAATTGAACTTAGTATTTTTCACACATTGTATTATCACAGATTGCATAATAAATGAAAACATATTTTGGCCATAGTAACATCTTCAGAGTAGTTGTGAGATAAAAACATCTTACTGTGTGGTGTCTCAGATGTACGAGGGGCTGGTCTGAGTGTCGATGGGGGAACACCAACAGAAGGAACACCTGAGAGAACAAGAATAAAATAGAAAAAGTAGATTAGTGCAATGCCATCAGGGATGGGCAGTATTTCAGATACATGTATTTAAAATACGTATTTGAAATATAAAATACTATTTTGCATTTGAATGTCTTTGAAAAAAGAAATAAAATATATTTTGTATTTAAATACATGTAGGTGTATTATTTTAGTATTTTCAAAATACTGTATTTGTATTTAAATACATTTTCTCCACACAGTATTTGAGATTTTATTTTTATCCATTTCAACTGAGGTATTTTGTGTTTTTATTTTAAATAAATTTTTTCATGTATTTATGCCCATCTGTGGATGTCATAACATTTACACTTTTTATTCTTCTCATTATAGACTCCACAATAAAGGACACAGTTGGGCCCAGTAACACTTGAGAAAGGAGTTATGAAAACATCTTACTGTGTGGTGGCTCAGGTGTATGAGGGGAAGAGGAGTTCTCAGAAGGTGGGAGGGTTCCTGAAAAGATCAATGTATGGTTAAGTTAAAACCAATAAACCTGATTGCTTTATATTGCATAATTTATTTATTAACCTAATTACCCTATTTGTTACCACTGCTGTATAGCCTTGAAGAAACTTATAACACCCATATGGGCCAAATAAAATAACACCAAATAAAACTGAATATAAAAAAACACACCTGGTGCTGAGACATTCACCAGAAACTGCAGTTCAGAAGGAAGGGGCACAGGTCTCTTCACTGTAGGCATGGCCGGACCACAAGGAAGGAAAGACAAGCGGATAACAAAACCATTAACCCAGTAAATTATTGAAGTATAACTGATATTACCAAAGTGGATAAGACAATTGATTTATTGGATTAATATGAAAGATGGAGAAACAAATTACACTGCAATTACCATCTACTAGTGACTCGTGCGGTTTCCTTTGAGTGTCAGCAGGTGGCCTGGACAGTGAAGCAGCTGGTTCTAAAATAGACATTATTATGTCAGTTAGAAACATGAAACAATCACTCTTGGTAAAGACACAAACCACTAAAATCTTACTTCACCTGCTAAGTCTTATAAATTCAAGGGGTACTTCATTCTGATATATTTGAATGGTAATACACTTTATTCTTACACACATTTTTGTATGGATTGATGCTCAATTATAATAATATAAGCCTTTATAAGTCTAAGCAGGGGAAGCAATATGATTTTTCCTACCCTAAATAACATGCTTAAGGAAAAAAATTACTTTGTTACTTACCCTCACCATTGAGGAAATCAATTCATGAACCATATTGGTTGCTATAGGAACATCAGCATGCAAACATAACATTAGTGGAACATGAACATGGCCAGAACATGACCAGAACACACAAAACACACAAAAGAACGGTTAAATTCATGGTTGCGTTTTAAAGAGCAATTCATTGTGGCTCGATCCAACATGTGTGAACTTTTATGAAACCTATTTCAATTCCTGTGGCTTGTCCCGGTACAGCAAATGATGATGATGATGATGATGATGATGAAGCAGCATCATCTGGCAACACACAAAAAGATTCAATGGTATAGCAGACTCGCATTTAATGACACTGTTTGAGCCAAACTCAATTTTGAATGTTCACTCAGTAGAACGTCTGTACTTACAACACTGAACCAGTTCCTTGGTGGGCGATATACTCAGCATTGCTTTCTCCAGGTCCTCATCATCATCCATCCCTGTGACACAGACAGAAAAAATACATTGTAGTGCAATTATTTTGGTTAAAAGCATGTGTTCCATGACTGAGTTGTATTTTGATGTAAATGAATAGGTACAAAAAAAACTAATACATTTTTTGCATACTGAATAAAAAAAACCTACTCATGGGTTCATCAGGTGCACTTGAGGCAAGAACTGGTGGAGAGGGGACAGAGGCTGACTCCTTGTTTCTCAGGTACTGTTGCAGTCTGTACATCTGAGTCCCCGAAAAACACTTAGTCCTCATGATGAAGGCTGCATAGCCATCAGCCCTGCTGTCCCACACCTCCCGCCAGGTGCTCTTGGCACGAGAGCCAAAGCCAACAAGCTGGTCGTCCTCTGAGACTGCTCGAGTTGTGGGCTTTTCCGACTCATAACATAGAAGAGATTTGATTTCTTCAAAGCTCCGGGCATAGCCCACAAAGCTAAACAAGCTGGCCTTACTGTGCCCCTCGTTCATAAACACTCCAGCAGCCTCTTCTTTCTCTGTGTGCTTTATGAGGTAGATTGTGTAGCCTACATCATTTTCCAAAAGCCACCGGAAGGATTTCCCCTTATATTTACCAAACTGCAAGATGTATTCCCCCAGCACCTCTGCCCTGTCTGAGGCATCCCCTCCTCTCTGACGGACCACAGTCAGGGCATTTTGTTTGACTATATCCTCCCTCAGAGGTGCAGACTTGTCCTGCAGAGAAGGGTTGTCCTTGAGCAGCTTAGCTGCATCAGTTGGATCCTGACGGAGGTATCCTCGAGGTCCCTTGCGGAAAACAACTTTCATCCTCCCTGGAAAGAAACTGAATTTTTTTTGCATGCTGGCCTGTGACATATGAGGGGAAAAAAAACTATTAGATGTATATATTAAATTTACGTCTTTCATTTTTTTAAAATATTTTTTGTATCGCTGCTTTAGATTTTAGTATACAGAAGCTGCTCTGGGTTAAATTTGACTTATTTAAAGGTCTCCAGAGGGGGTCATATCAAGAAAGGAATCGAAACGTGGAAAGAGTACCTATTAAGGTGCTCTGAACTCTATGCACCCCTCCATTTTAATGGCTTTTTGCATTACTGACATTTGTTTACACTGCCATTTGCACAGCTCTTTTACAAATAGATCAGAATCATTCAGATCTATAAATTTGTAAATATGTTCATATTCTTGTGTTTTATCTGTATTAATTTAATGCCATGTATGTCCTATGTAGGCTACTATGTTCATGCGCAACAGTGGGAAATATATGGATATTGAGATTTTACTACAAAAGAATCTACTAATAATGTAATAGTATGTACTGTACTATTTTTATTGGTAAGAATAGTCATTTTAGTGGTAAAACCATGGATAATTCTCATACGTTCTCACAGGGACAGCGAGTGAACATTTTAACATCTCGTTTTTGAACTATTTAATATATGCAATCTCATAAATATTACAAAAGTTGAAAATAATGGTCAAGCCAACAGATGACTTGTTAAAGATGACAAACAGTTAAGTTAGCAAGCTCATGGAGCATTATATCACGGGGAAAACCAATCTGATACAAATATAACATTTAATTTAACATTTTATCCAAGACTAAACGAAACCATTACACACAAAAAAAACGAAACAGAAAAACGAAAATGCAAGGTAGCCTACTAGCATTTGTGTGAATTCGTCATATGAGAAAAGAAAACCAGGCAGGGCATGCTGACGTTTTTGCATAAAGTTTTAACATTACTAGTAAAAGATGAGATAAAATAAAGTATCGTACCTTAGTCAGATGTGTTGAAATATGATGAATGCGGTGAGGTTTCTCTCTCTTCGAGTCGCGATGAAAATGGCTACTTTAAATTTTCCCGGGGCTGCCAAAACACGGAAGAGCGCCAAGAGAGCGTTAGTGGCCGAAATAATATTGCATCCGTAGTGGTTTAGCACTACCATTGAAAATGAATGGGAAACGGTTTAGGGCCGTTTAGCTGAACAATCCACGGCCGCCGCGTGTTCGATCCCGGCTCTCGCAGCAGATAAAAAATTTAGTCTCGCCGCGGCCAGACTTCCACCGAAACTTTTCGCTCGTTCAGTTCCAGATAATGCGACTGTTCCAGTGTATTTTGCAGTAAACAAGCTGGTACCACGGCCCGCTTGCCTGCACATAAAGGCCGTTTCCATGGCGACCCAGAAAAATCATTGTATTTCTGGTTTTCCGGCCACAGCCGATGGTGTTATAAGTGTAATAAAATGCTCACAGCCCAGTGTTCATTTCTACACACAAACACAGCCCGCCACGGTACAGGGCTCGCACAATTGTGCATTAAATGTAGTGAATGTGCCCACAACCCAGTGCCCACATACACTACCACGGTTTCTGTAAAACGAAACCAACACAAGTCTTCCTAGCCTCCTAGGAAATTGACGGTGTTTCAGTCTCGCCGTGGCCAGACTTCCACTGAAATTTTCGCTCGTTCAGTTCCAGAAAATGTGACTGTTCCAGTGTATTTTGCAGTAAGCAAGCCAGTACCATGCCCGCTTGCCTGCACACTAATGCTGTTCCCACGGCGACCCAGATAAATCACATAAATGGTGTATTTTCTGATATTCCGGCCACAGCCGATGGTGTTATGAGTGTATTGAAAATGCCTACAACCCAGGGCTCATTTCTACACACAAACACAGCCCGCAAAAATGCAGGGCTCGCACAAACAATCCGGCCACGGCCGATGGTGTTATGAGTGTTGTAAGAATGCCCACCCAGTGCCCATTCCCACACCCAGACACAGCCCGCCACGGTGCAGGGCTAGCACAAATAAACTCGACTCAGGTCGATTGTGCAAACAATGTAGTAAACGCGCCCATGTCACCATGCCCGCTCACACTACATGCTGCGTGTCCCATGGTTTCTGTAAAAACGAAACCAACACACATTCAGTCGGCCATGAACGACAGTGTTTTCAGTGTATTAAATGTGCCCGCAGCCCCGCGCCCACATTTTCTCACAGACACGCCGATTCCCACGGGATCTCCCCCTGCTCGCTTTTTCTGCACAATCTGCCATAAAAAAGCTGAGCGCGGCCAGGTCGCCCGCTGTGATCAGCGCGCCCCCCGCCTCGAACGCTGTAAACACGGTGTTGTGTTCCCAGTATGCCCAGGCTCTCGAGCTGCCGTTTTGTCGCGGCCAGAGCCCGGATTTCATTCTGCCTCTAGCTATTCACGCAGATGCGTGGTCAAAGCTTCCCGGGGTTTCAGAATGGGTGCTGAACACTATAAAGAGAGGCTATTCGCTACAATTCGCTCGACGCCCGCGCCGTTATACGGCGCGCGTCGAAACTACGGTGAAAAACGAAGTATCTCATCTACTTCGTGCCGAAATAGCGAAACTACTGAGCAAAGGGGCTATAGAACCTTTATCTCAGGCTCAGAGCGAAGGGGGCCTATACAGCAGATATTTTCTGGTACCGAAAAAGGATGGGGGTCTCAGACCCATTTTAGATCTGCGGCAGCTGAACAGAGTGCTTGTGAAGCGCCAGTTCAGAATGCTTACGACCAGGAAAATCCTCGCGCAGGTGCGCTTCGGGGACTGGTTTATGTCGATAGATCTGAAAGACGCCTATTTCCAAATACAAATAGCGTCCCATCACAGGCGATTTTTGAGATTCGCCATCGAGGGCCAGGCATATCAATACACAGTCCTGCCGTTCGGCCTGTCCCTAGCGCCTCGTACATTTACGAAGTGCATGGACGCGGCGCTCGCGCCCCTGAGACTTCAGGGCATGCGAGTTCTGAACTACTTGGACGATTGGCTGATTCTAGCTCGATCACGATCGGAGCTCATAGAACACAGGGCCGCATTGCTCGAACACCTCGAGAAGCTGGGCCTCACAGTCAATTGGGCGAAGAGCTCACTGTCTCCCAGTCAGAAAATTTCCTTTCTGGGAACCGTGTTGGACTCGCTGTCCATGACAGCACGCCTGTCACCAGAGCGCGTGCTAAATATTCAGCGCGGCGTGAAATCCTTCCGCCACGGCGCGATAGTCCCGCTCAAAAGGTTTCAGAAAATGCTGGGGCTGATGGCCTCAGCAGCCTCTGTACTCCAGTTGGGCCTGCTCCGCATGCGCCCACTGCAGATGTGGCTGAAGACGCGGGTTCCACCCAGGGCATGGACAGCGGGTCTGTTTCGCCTCAGGGTCGACCTTCAGTGCGTTTCAGCTCTGAAACCTTGGAGAGAAACCGACTGGTATCAGTCAGGTGTAAGTCTGGGGACCGCTTCGAGCGTGAAGGTGGTGTCTACGGACGCCTCCACCTCGGGGTGGGGAGCGCTGCTCGAGGGCAGACCGCTAGCTGGCCTGTGGTCAGAACGGGAAAAGCTCCTTCACATAAACTGCTTGGAGATGATAGCAGTCGACAAAGCGCTACGGCGTTTTTGTCCCCAGATAACAGGCCACCACGTCTTGGTCCGGTCGGACAACATGTCGGTGGTGGCATACATAAATCGCCAGGGCGGCGTCAGGTCACGAAACCTTTACAGGTTGACGGAACGCCTCCTGGTTTGGGCTCAGCACAACCTGCTCTCACTGAGAGCGGCGCACGTGCCTGGTCACCTGAACGTGGGACCAGACAGACTGTCCAGGAACAACGTTCCAGCAGGGGAATGGTCGCTGCACCCGCAGACGGTCCAGCTGCTGTGGAAAACATTCGGCAGAGCTCAGGTGGACCTATTCGCGTCCCAAGAAAACGCTCATTGCCCGGAGTTTTTCTCGAAAAGCAAGGACGCGCTGGCTCATGTTTGGCCCCGCTGCCCCCTGTATGCTTTTCCTCCTGTCTCGCTCCTGCCTCAGGTGTTGGAACGAATCAGGGAAAACGGATGCCCAGTGCTGCTTGTAGCCCCGCTCTGGACGAACCAGACGTGGTTCCCTGCCCTGATGCAGCTGACCAGCACTGCCCCATGGCCTGTACCATTGAGGAGAGACCTCCTCTCTCAGGCGGAGGGCTCGATCTGGCACCCTCGCCCGGAGTTATGGTCCCTGCACGCATGGGCCATCAACGGGTACCCGCTAGCCTCCCAGAGGGAGTGTTAAACACGATCGCGCAGGCTAGAGCTCCGTCTACCAGGCGGCTCTACTCCTCGAAATGGTCTGTTTTCTCTACATGGTGTCAGGCCCAGAGCCTTTCACCTGTGGAGTGCGGGGTTGCGGAAGTGCTTTCCTTCCTTCAAGAGCTACTGGATAAGGGCAGGACCCCATCCACGCTCAAAGTATATGTGGCGGCCATAGCAACGTTTGCAAAACCGGTGTCTGGCCAGTCGCTTGGGAAAAACGACTTAGTCGTGCGTTTCCTTAGGGGAGCTCGGAGGCTGAACCCTCCAAGGCCCCCTTCAGTCCCGACGTGGGACCTTTCCACGGTCTTGGAGGCCATGAAAGGCGCCCCGTTCGAGCCAATCCAGCTGGTGGACATGAAACACCTGTCGTTCAAGACAGTGTTTCTCATGGCTCTCGCTTCAGTGAAGCGCATAGGGGACCTACAGGCGCTTTCAGTAAGCGCGTCGTGTATGGAGTTTGGGCCTAATGACTCAAAGGTCATTCTCAAACCGAAACACGGGTATGTCCCGAAATCCCTCAACACGCCGTTCAGGGCCCAGGTCATTTCCCTGTCTGCCCTTCCGGTTCTCAGTGAGGAGGAGGATGCAAGTCTCCTCTGCCCCGTCAGGGCATTGAGAGCTTATGTGGCACGCTCGTCTGTTTTCAGACAGACGGAGCGGCTTTTTGTTTTGTTCGGCGGGCGTTCCAAGGGACTCGCCGCCTCAAAACAGAGCCTATCCAGATGGATAGTGGATGCCATCGCGCTCGCTT